ATTGTACACAGTATTATTTATGATAATGATACTTTAAGAGAAACCAAAACACAGTGGCTTAAATTAGATAAAAGTTTATTTCTCCCTCACTTAAAAGTCCAAGTTGATAGTGATCCTAGAATGTAGGGCTTCTGTAATCCATAAGGTCATTCAGACACCCAAGCACCTTCTCTCCTGTTGGTCTAACGTCCCCTGAAGTGTTGTTCTGGTCCATGTGATTGAAGATGGCTCACCATCACCACCAGTAGGAAGAAGGAAAGAGGAAATACAGGGCATGACCTGGAAGTTAATCACATCCCTTCCTTCTACTTACATTCCATTAACCAAAATATAGTCATATGTCCCACAAAACTCCAAGGAGGTCTGAAAAATGTGACCTTTTGCTGTCAGCCATGTACTGAGCTATAACTTGGGAAATTCATTTACTAAACAAGAATGGGGGAAAAACTATCAGTAAGCCCTAGCCACTTACTATTTGTGTGGCTTCAGAAAAATATTTATCTCTCTGTACCCCAGTTTCTTCATTTGTAAGCAGGTGGTAATAATACTTTCCTATATGTGTTAGGAATGTGTTTGGCTACATGTAACAGAAAACCTACCTACAGTGGATTAAACAAATAGGAGTTCAGTTTTTTAATATAATGAGACATCTGAAGGTAGGTTGATGTTTGGGAAAATATTTCAGTGAACTTTCTTTTAGCTCTCCTCTCATGATTCCAATGCAGTTGTTCAAGCTTCAGCCATCACATCCATGTTCAAGAAATGAGGAAGGGGAAAGATGGACCATTTATATCTTTCACATTTATCAGGAAATACAAACATCTTCCCCAAATCCCAGGCATTCTGTGAGTGATAAATACATACTATCTCAAAAGATCTATTTATTTATTTAAAAAATTTTGTGTACAATCAATTTTCCCAAGAACACATAAAATGGTATATATTTTGGGGACATAGAGTGATATTTCAATATATGTATGCAATGTGTAACAATGAAATAAGAGTAATTAGCATATCCATCTTTAATCATTCTGAGCCCTAGTTTTCCCATCCGTTACGTGGAATGCTAACACTTATCTCATGGAATTGCTGTGAGAATCAAGGAAATAATAATGCTAATGTATCTAGAACACTGCCTGACATACCACAGATGCTCAATGAAGGGACCACATTATTTTTTGAGACAGTGGAACTTTGACAGTTCTGTGTTTGAATCCTGGCTCCAAATCCATGTGACTTTGATTAAGTTGCTTACCCTCTTTGAATCTGTTTCCTCATCTTGAAAGACAGGGATAATAATGCCTTCTTTACAGGGCTGTTGTGAAGATTAAGTGGAGTTATATATATTAAAATTAAGCACCTGGCTCATAGAAGCAATTCTTCCAAAGTTTAAGCAGTAGCCACCCATCACACACTCGGGGTGAGTAGGAGAGAACAGATGTTGGGTGTGTGTTGCTAAGCTAGCCTCTCCCAGCACACTCACAGAAGGAAGGGGCTGTGTGCCCATGTTGAGTACAGCAAAATCACCAATAGGGAGGCATGATGGGAAAGCCAAACACAGGTCAGGTCAGTAAAGGACACGTAAGCCTGGGGGCCAGTTCCCTCTTCTGCTCTGCCCAAGACAGAGACAGCTAGCTGGAAGAGTTTGAACACAGCTCTGGTTACCTGCCTGGGCAAGAGACCAGACTCTTCTCAATTGTACAGGAGTGGTGAGCTCTGATGGCCTGGAGGTGATCAGAAGACTCTGACAGGACCCTGTCAGTGCCCCCCCCACCCCCGTCTGTTTTAGGGCAATAGAGGGTTCTGAAGGATGTCTTTTTCGGCAGCATGGCTGAGCAGCTGTGGTGGGGCAGGAGGATGTCCCAAGCAGATGTGGGTGAGGTCGGCCTCATGAATTACAAGGAGGTTGGAGGTCTTGACTGGCTGTAAAGGCTTTGGTCCCTGGGGGCAAATTTGGCTAAAGGAAGAGCACCATTCCTCCCCGTAACTCCTGGGAGAGATTTCTTGGGGAAAGAGACATTGAGGGGGCAAGACTACCTAGTTCAGTGTTTAGCCAAACTAGTCTGCTTTCTACTCTTTCATTGTCCTTCTTTCTCCCTCCCTTTCCTCCCTCTCTTCTTTCCTTTCTTTCTCTTTCTTCCATCCTCCCTTCCTTCCATTCTTTTGTTCATTTGTTCTTTATTTCTTCTGTAATAGTTTTATTGAGATATCAATTATGTACAATCAAATTCACCCACTGAATTGTACAGTTTCATGGTTTTTAGTATACTCATGGTGTTGTGCAACTATCACCATGACCTAGTTCCAGAACAATTTCATTGCTCCAAAAAGAAAACCTGTACCTGTTAGCAGTCATTCCCCATTATCCCAACCTCAGCCTGTGGCAATCATTAATCCATTTTATGTCTCTATAGATTTGTCTATTCTGGACATTTCATATGAATGGAATCATATAATATGTGGTCTTTTGTGACTGGCTTCTTTCACTCAGCATGTATCAGCATGTTTTCAAGACTTATCTATGTTGTAGCATGTGTCAGTACTTCATTATTTTATGGTCAAATAATTTCTCCTTGTATGGATATACCACATTTTATTTATCAATTTGTCAGTTGACAAACAGTTGGGCTCTTTCCATCTTTTAGTTATTATGAATAACACTGCTATGAATTTTTGTGCACAAGTTTTTGTGTGGACATGTTTTCATTCCTCTTGGGTATATACCTAGAACCAGAACTGCTGGGTTATATAGTAACTATGTTTAACCTTTTGAGGAACTGCCAGAATGTTTTCCACAGTGATTGCATTTTACATTTCCACCGCTATGTAGGAGAGTTCCAATTTCTCCACATCCCTCACCAACACTTGTTACTGTCTTTTTATTATAGCCACCCTAGTAGGTGTGAAGTGGTACCTCACTGTGGTTTTGATGTGCATTTCCCTGATGGATGATGATGTTGAGTACTCCCACCTTTTCTTAAGAGCAAGCTGAGTGGCTCCTTCTATAGGAAAAGCATATAGATCATGCAGCTTTTGGGGGAGGGCAGAGGGAAGGTCCCTACCCTATCCCAGAATGGCCTCTGAGAATAGACAGAGCTTGTGCTGTTATTTAGAGAGGGACTAAGAAGAATTGGGAAGAGGTGCTCTGAGGCTGCTGACAATTTGTTTCTGGTTTCCCACCTTGCATGACAGAGATTTTTGTTATCTCTCCAAGATCTGAAGGATGGAAGCTCCAGCTGTAAGTGGAAAATTGTTCTAAAAGGCAAGGTGGTTAATATAGTCAAATATTCAATAGTGTTAAGCTGCTCCATTTAACTTTGCTGGAAACAAGGTTTATGAACAAAGTCAAGAATTCATCAAGTGCCCTAGCAAGCCTTAGGCAGAAAAGGATTTAGCCTTTAAAGCTCTGGCTCCCAGCCACTTGCTAAGTTCTTTTCTGTGAGCTCAGACTGCTAATTAAAGACCCCAGATTGCTGAAAGTAAATGAGCAAAGAGTTTCCATGACCATCTCCATGAACTAGAAGGAACTGCTTCCTCCTCTTCTTGTACCTAGACACCAAGGTCATGAAGAGGCTGCCCCATGCCCCAGGGAGGGAGAGGAAATGAATTATTTCAGTCTGTGTGCTCTGGGTTTTTAAAGCACTAAATTCACCTCTGCCTTCTCCTACAATTCCCACTTTTTCTCCCCCACAACTATAAAACAAGATACTAGATCTGAGATATACTGAAATCTTGCCTGAAGTGTTGTTTACAAGGAATCTTCTTAGGTTAGTTCAGGGAAGTAGAAAGGGAAAAAATCCTCCTCCTCTAGTTGAAGAGTAGGTGAGATGGGAAAAGTAGGAACACCACTTTAGATTTCTAGTGGAGAGGAACTCTCCAGGAGGAAGCAATAACTCCTGACTCTGTTGTTTGTTTGTTTGTTTTGAGACAGAGTCTCACTTTGTTGCCCAGGCTAGAGAGAATGCCATGGCGTCAGCCTGGGCTCAAACAATCCTCCTGCCTCAGCCTCCCGAGTAGCTAGGACTACAGGCATGCACCACCGTGCCCGGCTAATGTTTTCTCTATATATTTTTAGTCGGTCAATTAATTTCTTTCTATTTTTAGTAGAGACGGGGTCTCGCTCAGGCTGGTTTTGAACTCCTGACCTTGAGCAATCCGCCCACCTCGGCCTCCCAGAGTGCTAGGATTACAGGCGTGAGCCACCACGCCTGCCCGGCCTGTTGGTTGTTCTTTGAAGTGGAAGAACCTGGTATTTTCTGAAAAGCCACCATTTTGAACAGCATTCTTATGACCCCTCTGATGAAGTTTAGAAGGAGTGGTGGGGAGGATAAAAGCTGGTCTGCAAAAGGAGCACCAGTTATCTGAATGATCTGCTTCCTTGAAATGCCTGGAATTTTCTTCTTTAAAAAACTACTAAGTGGAATTTGGCTTTCAGGTATTCTGAAAACTTCCCCAGACTTTCAGCAACTTTCCTGGATTTCGTGGAGACCACTAATGTACTTATAAAAACGATAATCTGTAATATCCATCACACTCTGTGTCTGTTTCTGGTAAATCCCCAGCCGTGAAAAGTGTGAGTCATGCTCTGTGGAGAAGGGAGTTGGCTGCATCTCCTGCTTTGTTGGTCAAGGATGAGGAGTAAAGGCAGAAGGGATTTTCTTATAAGTCGGAGAAGGAAATGGACATGTGCATACTCTGCAATTCAGAACCTAGAGATTTTATGATGTGCTCTTGTATAGCCTAGGATGAAATATGCTTGTGATGAAAAAAAGAGGACAGGAGAAAGTATTTCTTCTGGAGTATTCTTGGGCAGGTGGGAAGTGAAGTGGAGAAAAAAGGACAAATGTTATCATGAGAACATGTCTTTGTGCTAATGACCGGTGCTCTGATGGAGAAATGAATCCCCAAACTACTGCCAGTGCTATAAATTTTCCTAGAATCAAGAATTAATTCATGTTCAACCTAAATTTTAAAAATCTTCTTATTCTTTTTTTCCCCAGAAGTGTTCTGTTCCTCAAACACCAATAGTTAGTTGACTATTAATTTCTCCTGAGGTGGTGAGGGGACAGAAGGCAGCAAGAAGAGCAGTGGAGAATCTACAACCAGTTTGCAATGCTGATGTGGTCAAGGAACTCAGATGTCAAAGACTTTCATGGTTATCACTTTATTATAATTAATTCTTTTGGATTTTTGGAAAGATTAAAATAATTTACATGATAATGTTTCTTTATCAAACTCACCTTGTTAATCTACTTCGTGGAGGAAAACCATAGTCTCACTAAAAGTTAATAAATTCTTAGACTGAAAATTGGAGTGTGTGTAATGTTTGTAACATTTGGCAGAACTATGTGGAAGGTTAGAATGCTGTAACTATTCTGATTATTTAAAAATAAAATTATTTACATGCCAAAGTTAATATAAAAGCATTCTTCTGCATGCATAAGAAAATAAATATGCAATATGTTGGAAGAAGTTGTATAATTGTTTGGTAAAGAATTTTTTCAATGAGGATAAAGTCATTTACATATATATGTATATATGATATGTATATAATCTTTTATTGAAATCCCAGCCATTTTATTTTGCAAAGAGAGTTGGAAAATTATACAAATTGACATAATTGCCAATGTATACTTAAAAATCATAAAAGTGATTAAAAGTGATTAAAAATCATAAGAGTTAAATTGCTTGTGTCCATTATAAATATAGCATTGACCATATGACCATAGTTTTAAAACCAAAAGCAGAGCACACAGTTTGCTAAACAGTCTTATATAATCAGTCATTTCACATGCATTGCTTGAGTGCCTACTGTATGCCAGGTACTCTATTTGTTTCTGAGTATATGGCAATGAACAAGAGAAAGAGTAACACATGGTGATCATAGAGCAGAATATTTAAAACTGAACTGCCTCATAATATCTAGATTGCTGGTTACTGTAATTATAAATCATGACTAGTTGGACATCACTACATTTCTTGATGAATTTAATGGATAATTTTTTTCATGTGACAAAAATGTTAGTATTTGTACATAGGTTTCCACACAGGGTATAAATAGTGGGTATATGTTGCAGTTTATGAGGTTTTATTAATGTTAAGTCCCTGAAGCCTACAATTTAGAAATGGCTTACATTCCAGAAGTTTGTTTACAAGTCACTTGTTCAATGGTTAGTTTCCAAAGCCAATCAGCAGAAATCTATTTAACCTATAAAGTTGCTAAAACAAAGCACCGGTCTTATAATTAAAACTAACTGCTAGGTCTAACCAGTGTTTTTAAGGTTGAGGGCATTTGAAGTTCAATTTCACCTTCCCTTCAGGAGCACATTTTTCCTAGAAGTGGTATGGAAATAGGAGTGGGAACATTTGCCTAATTCCAGGATAATCAAGGGAATTATCACCGAAGCAGGGGAAGGTCCACATATTATGGTAGCCTGAAGATTAGTGACTTGTGAGGAGGCCCTCTTTAAGAAGGAGAATTCACAGTTATGAATATAAAATCAGATGTGGGACCTTGGACAGGACCTGTACAAGCTAGGACCCCTGAAGTTTAAGCTTCATTAGTGTCCCAGTAAATCTGCCTCTACAGCTATGGCCAGTTCAGGCCAGGGGTAAAAACTGACGAATGAGAGATGTGTCAGAGGAAGTGAGGATCAGTGGGAAGCAGTTAAAGAACTAAGAGGTGGATACTAGGACCCTGACATAATCAACATAGGGGGATGGGACATTTAATAGGTAAGGTTGTTTGTTCCTGTGCCAGTGGTGGTGTCACCCTGCCCTTTAAGAGTTGGGGTTAAGGGCATGATGTTATAGGGACACAGCCGTTGGGGTGGCAGAATGGATCCATATATGGGACATTAATAGGGTCAGTGAAAGGATGAGTGGGACTGGCCCAAAGGACAAAAGGGGATGGGGACATTCTACAGATGAAGTGGGATGGGGCACAGTTAGCTCCATATTGCTGCGAATACCGGGTAGGAAGACCATGTCAGCATTAGGAAATGGGATTGTGAGGGAAGAAGGGAGGTGCCTTCTCACCTGCAGCAGATGGAGGAAAGAAGCCACAGGTGCAGGTTGGTAAGAAGGGCAGAAGAGCAGTGATGTAAGAGCCATACATAAGTCAGAAGCCACGAGTGAGACACAGCCTGTAATTAGGAAGAATGATAAACCAGACCAGAGCGTGATTTGGATACCTATGAATTGGGAAAACCTAATCATTTCAGATGAATTAGAACAATGTGTTGGTGAACCCACATGAACCTGCAGGGGTTAGGCTTAGGATAAACTTTAGTGAGCACCCTGTGGTGACAAGAGAATGGCCCACGACCTTTAAATAAAGGCCATTGGCTTGGTTGAGAATAATTGTCTTTCTTGAGGAAAAAGTGAAATGGAATTTTGACTTCTTACACCAGCATAGCTTGAAACAAAGCCAGTTGAGAACTGGAGAACCTGTACTGGAGCACTACATAGTCATTTTCCCCCAAACCTCTGTCAGGGAGAGACTCAGAATGTGAGCCTTCTCTAATAGCTCAGCTGTGGGTCCCTTTCATGGCCCCAGGTGGCTTCCTGAGGGGTTTGATTAGAGGGATTCCCATAGTTAGTGATCTGTGTGTTCTGGTTCTGAACAGAATGCAAAGGCTATTATGCCTAAGCATGTATCTAGAAATGGTGTTCTTATAAAAGCCATCTACAACATGAGGCAAGGATAAAGAATAGTGGTTATGAAATATAGGGTAGGAGTTCAAGAAACTAACCGAATGCTAGTGTGTTAAGAGTCCTGCAATCTGAATCTAAGACCATACAAATCTGAATCTAAGATCATACATTATAGGAGAGTTCTGAGGTGTCTTTCTTGTTCATGGACAAGGGTGGTTTAAAGCAAGAAACAGAAAACGTGATGTGTTAGTCAGGCTCTCTGGCCAGAAAAACAGAAGCCATTCCAGGTTTTCCTGACAGAGGACATTTCGTATAGAGAATCGGTTACCAATGAAATGGAAGGGCAGAGAAGCCAAACGTGGAATGCAGAGAGAATTCCAGAGATTAGCCACAATAGGAAGCTGCTCCCATTTTAAGATTGGAAGGACAATAGGAGAAGGTGGCAAAATCAGACCTCAGACATCAGGGCTGTCCAGTGGGACTAGAAACATAGTGGACTTCCCAGTGGAGCGGAGACCACAGAGAGGATGCTACTGGTGCTGGAATTACCACAGGGCACACAGACAGAAAAAATACCCTGGCTTCTTTCTTCCTTCTGCACCTCATTCCAGTGCCTGTGACTTCCATTGGCAGCACCAAACTGGAAATCAGAGGTCAAAGAAACCTGGGAATTGTAGTTCCCTGCAGCTATGCAAGTACTGGATTCCTATGAGAGCAAACTGGAAACGAACTGCATATCACAAAAAATTTCAGTTTTGCATAGTACAGAATGTTACCCAACTTCCCTGGAATTAATAGCCTCTTATGTGATCAGTCCTGTATAAAGTGATTAGAAAATCATACCATAGCACCACTGAAATTCTTAAATTTAATTTTCCTTATTTTTAATATAAAAATTATTTGTGAATAGGTAATACAGGCACATGAAATAAAATTCAAAAGTTATAAAAGGATATGTAGTGAAAAGTCTCAGTCACTCATCACCTGCTCACATGTCTATATCTATAGCACATCTATATATCTGTTTCTTAATCTATGTCCTTTCTTCTATTAATACATATGGAAGATGTATATTTTCTCCCATAAAAATGGTAGCATACTATATGCACTGCTCTACTGACCTAAACTTTAGAACTAATTGTGACCTACCAATTTAATACCAAGGATATTTCTTCTCTGTGGAAATAATGGGTGTGCCTATTAGGTCAGACATGTGCCTAGGTGATAAAGGGCTGTAAGTCATAGGCTTGCAGACATCCAACGTTCAACCAGTCATGCAAAGAATTCTCCAAGGCAGTAATTCAGCAGAAGCTTTGGCAGGTCCATCAGAATGATTCAAGGCTTAGGAATGACTCATTGGGGCTTGGGTTAAGTAATCTTGACTTAATCATATCACTTGAAGCAAAGGTAAGTTAAAGATTTAAAGCCTGGCAGCTCAGTATCTCATCTAGATATTGGCAGAGAAATTATCAGCCCAGCAACAGTTTCAGAGTTGGAAAAGCAGCCTCAAATGCCTCATATTATATACCAAGATAATGTCTGTGTGAGTTAAAGAGTATGTATACATGGATATGTTTATGTGTATATATACACATGTACAAAGTCATACATATATTCGCACATATATTCATACATCATATACATATGCATACACATGGAAAGGAAACATATTTAAAAATTTCTCAAATTTCTGGAGCAGAGACACCTTTATATGCATAGAAATGGTAGAAGTAATTACAAAAAGAAAAACAATTGAATATAAGAATATTAATGTTCTGCACATAAAAACAGAAGAATGCAAAGTGTAAAACAGTCAGGAAATACGTTTACTATAACAAATATGACAGATAAACAGATGATATCTTAATTATTTAGCACATTCATAGGAGATCATATACTATAGTGAGGATAAGAGCCTCAGGTCTGCTATTAGACTTCCTACGATGAGAACATCATTGGATTTCAGTCTCTTCATCTGCAAAATGGTGCTAATGGTAATACTTACTGGACTTTTGTAAGGTTTAAATATGGTATGTATGTTAAGTACTTAGAACAGTGTCTGGCACTTGATAAACACTTAGTAGGAGCCACCTATAATTAGTAGAAAAAAAATTGTTAGAGTCCACTCAGAGGAATAGTTCCTTTTCAAATACATACAAAAATGGCTTATAGGGTCTCAGCTGTCCTGATCACTCATAATTCAAATTTTTAAAATTTAACTGATTCTTCAGCCCTTAATAAGACCTGTTATATTAAAAGGATAATGAAAAATGGATATTAACAATTAGCACTAGGATTTAAAGTATAAGAATACTTCAAGCATAGTTGGGTATTTGGCTATGACGAGAAAAAAGTTTTGGTGAGCTAAGGAGCCCAGTGAGAATGCAAGCCATTAGGAAAAGAACTATAATTGAAAATGTAGGAATAGTCTGATAATTTTCTTATCATTGATAGATTTTGGAAAATCATGAAAATTATAACTCTTATGTATATACTGCCAAATAATGAAATAAGACAGGGCTAGGATAGATTTATTTTATTTTATGTTTATTTCAGCATATTATAGGGGTACAAATGTTTAGGTTATGTGTGTTGCCTTTCCCTCCCTTCCCCCCAACCCCCTGGGAGTCAGAGCTTCAAGAGTGTCCATACCCCAGGACTTAGTGTATAATTATTATAGCTGT